AAAACACAGAAAAACGGTGGTAAAGAACATATTGCTTCCACTATAAAGTATTGAAAGTAATTTGCAACTCTCTATATTTGTTATTTATAATTGACATGCTTTGCACAGGTGTTGTGTGATTAGTGGAGAAGTTAACTGTATTTCAAGAATTGAATCACTTTCAATTGCAGTGAAAGCTATTACTTTTATATTTGGAAAAGTAAGAACCTGAGAACCTTCCTCAGTGTCTGTGATATAGAAGTGTCCACTAAATATAGGTTAATTTATTATGAAATGTGGGAAGAATAGTATGCAACTGAAAATAAAAGTAAGTTCCTTACAGGTAATCTCAGAACAGCTGTGTGTGGCTGGAAATTCACAGTGCTGGAATGCAACAGCAAATCCTGCTGAGAAACTGAGAACAGCTGTGTGGGGTTGGAAATTAACAGTGCTGAAATATAACAGTTAACTCCTGCTAAGAAATTGAGAACAGCTGAGAGGGGCTGGAAAATAACAGTACTGGAATATAACAGTTATCCATTGCGGAAATTCAGAAACAGGAAACTTTTAACTATTTTCGTGCTACAGTACACTGAGGATAGAATAATATCTCCCATTGCCTCAATTCCAGTTACTTGTAGAAAGGTCCTCTCTGAACCATAAATAGGATCTGTTTTACCAGTTATGGAAAGGAGAAATCTCAACCCTTTAACCCCCTATGAGTGACCAGCTTCTAATTTCTCCTCACAATATCACCCCTAAATCAAACATTGAGGTTATGAGAATCAAGGAAATGACCAACACCTTATAAAGTTCTTGATTTTTAAACTAATTCTCCTTGTTGGGGCTTCAGGAAATGTATAGAGAACAGTATGGAGAATATGCATACTGATGTTAGGGTGTAAAGGTTTAATCAATAAATGTATGTTAAAGGTAGCAATACTACATAGTTATTACTTACTCACAAGTACTATATTTTACTTAGCAGATTGTAGCTTCAATGGATGCCAGAAAACTGTTTATGAAAAACTGGGAGATACAGTTTTGTATTGTACTCCAGGATATACATCTTTCCCATCTTCATCTTTCTTCATCTTCAGAGAAGAATGGAAACTTAAATGCATTCTTTAATCAGTATAAAAGACAGTTTTTTGAACGACACAGCCTGAAAAGACCAGTCTACACACTAAAACTGGACCAAGAAGGTAAGATTGTCCGTGACAAGAATGGCATTCCTGTTGTTTTACACAACAGTTATGTTCAAGGGGAACTTAAGACTACAAAGCAACTTCTCTACAGAGAGGCTGTAGATGGTGTATTAAGCAGTTTACACAACATTAAAGGTGTCCTTGGAGAGGATACTTGCCTCCCTGGAGGGGTGAATGCCTTGAGTAGGCTATTCAATCAAGAATATGTATTTAAGGGTATTTTCAACCTTATTAGGGCCTTCTTGACTCAATGCTCAACAGGTCAGATTAACAACCCCTTGCCAATGCGAGAGCTTCCGTCCCCCTGTCCCCAAGTAGATCTTTTCGACCCCATTCCAGACTGCAGTGTGACCTTCTTGACATGGCCCCAAAGAAGCACCGTAGTTTTAGGCAGAATTATCGTTTAAGCTACCACCACGTTCTAACAGTCAAGTGCTGTTTCTTGAAGTTTTGCTAGCTGTTCCGATTAAAAACAAAGTCTGCTGAAGAAGTGTATGCCATTCTGACGGCCTTGTTCATCAAGGAGGGGTCACCTTCTGTTTTTTTTTTCAGTCAGATATATTTTATGCTATATTACAACTATTCTTTATGTATCTTTTTATTTTATACACGACCCCACAAGCTGCACAGCTTCAATACTTATCGTGTCTGAGTAAAGGTTTTACTTACTTACTAATGACGGTAAATTCATTGGAGAGGTAGTGCAAAGACTTTGCAAAGAATTTGAAGTTTTCATGGTTCATGGTAGGCAACACCACCCACAGTCTCAAGGCCAGATAGTAAAATCTCAACAAGCAGGTCAAAAGGCTGCTTGGAAGGTTTTTCCAACAGTTGCCTAGAGATCTTCAGGCCAATGTCTGGCCTTTACTACTCTCTGCTATTGCAGACCTTTTAAATTGCAAGTAGCACAGCACAATTAATGATATACCTTTTCAAATATATAAGAACCGTGAGCCTTCCTGCTTGGTGAACTACATCATCCCAGAAGATAGTATGTGGACAGAAAGTATTGAAGATGGTTGCCTCGAGGATTATGAATTTTCATCAGAAGATTTCATTGAGGTTGAGAGACATGGGGAGAGCACTTTCATGAATAAATCTATATTAGACGAGATAACAGAGGCCATCCTGCAAATTTCGTCTGAGACCATATTATTGTTCTCGTTGAGTGTTTCAGCTAAGCAGCTGTCAGCAGCTGTTAAGAATATAGTGCAAGGAAATTCACATTCTCCACCTTCTCACAGTCACGACAATATCCCACTTCAATCAGTGGAATCAGAGGCAGAATTCCAGGCAGAGAGCATCACAAAATATCTCTTCAACTTGAGTGAAGAATAAAAATCTAAGATGGTGGATGTCCTTGAAGCAACAGAACACACCATTTATAAAGGAACCACAAATGAGCTCTTAAGAGGACCAAAGAGCAGGAAAACTAAGGTGGGAGACAAAGTTCTCCTCCAAAATCCATGGTCAGAAGGGCTGTATTTTTCAAAGCCCGATCCCTTTCAGCCCTTGAATGTTTTGGGGGTCATCAGAGATGTGCGTCCTGGAGGAATGTTCAAGGTGGAGATGAGCAATTAGTAGTTAAATCCACTTTTGGTGGGCAGATGGTTTTTTTCAAGGAAAAGCAGTGTGAACTTCCCATTCATGAAACACCCTCCAAGTTATCTTTGCTGAATATGCACAATTTCATTTCAGAGTTTGGCGTAACTGTGCATAAGGAGATGTATAATTGAAGTCTAAGGTTGAGAACAGTGGTTCACCATAGCAGTATTGATGACCTGCTGAAGAGTTATTGTCAGGTTCTGGATTATGGGCTCCTTGCCATGGTATCTTCGTCTTCTGACACAGAGGAAGAAGATACTGTGTTTCACCAGAAGTTTATAACGGGCCTTCAAACTTTACAGGTTTCCGGTTTTCAGTACTTTCTCTATGGTACAGTCTCTTGGGAGAGAGACAGAGGGTAAAAAACCTGGGAAGTTCAATTCTGAGTCATCTCACGAATTATGAGGAACACTCTGACTGCTTTTCGTGTGTTGGAGAACTAAAACAAACTCCATGCTTTCATCCTTGCTGCCAGAATCTTGTGTTTCAGATAACTGTTAACTGTGGGCTCTGTGTAACAATGAATGGTTGCATTGTACCATTTTATGATAGTATAATGAAAACACCCCAGACAGCTTCAAAGGAAACCCCTCTGTTAAGTAGCCAGCCACACAACTGAGACTAGGACTTCATACCACGATAAAGATAGTATCAAAAGACCCAGCACCCAAGTCAGTGTTAATGAGTCAGTGTTAAATAGGAAGGATCTGCTTGACCATACAAATGATGTAACGATTGATGTTGGATTGAACAGTGCAGTACACCCCAAGGAAGTCTGAAAACCCATGAATTCACCCTTGCTGAGCCATCCACATCATCATTGCCGTTCATGCCAGGAAGCAATCAAGGAATACAAAGGAGGCTAGCTGAGTGGAAGGACAAGTGCCACCAACAACTAGAGAAGATTGATCCTTGTTGTAGTGGACTGGCTAAGTTTGTAATGCCTTTGAAGGGTTTTCTTGCAGCCATAAATCCCTCCAAGTTAATGCCACAGAGAGAAGTAACTTGAGGTACTTTTTAAAGATTATTGACAAGCATGCAAATAAAGACGTACAGAGCCAAGTGCGCCTAAGTAGCAACAACGGCAGTCAGGAGTGTTTGCAAGTTCAAGGGTACAGCTCATTCTGTGGACTTTGTGCAATGAACAATGGAATGGGTGTTCCAGGAAAGGACCTACTATGTTCAAATTGTTTACCTTGATTTGGCAGAAGACATGACTTGGTTAAAACAGGTTTGTGAAGTTCGGTGTGGATTTTCTGAACCTTAAAGAGCCTATGCGGGGTCTTGATGGCGATTACAGTATTTTAGCAATGGAGAAGGAAGCAATAGTGACCTTAACAGCATAGTTTAATATGTGGACGACACTTCCTTACTAGTCAAAATATCTAAAAATGAAATAGATTTTTCTTAAGAGGTTGTCAATCAGTTTTTCAGTTGAACCCAAGATAATGCCATGGCATGCAATCCCAAAAAAATTAATGAAATAATACTTTGTAAGAAGGTCGCTCGTGATATACACCCGTGAACAATATAACGCAAGTTTCTTGTCTAAAAGTGTTAGGGGTTACTTTACGTAGTAATCACAGGTTTAATGAGCAAATAAAGGGTTAGCTGAAGGAGGCCAATAGAGTCCTAAAGTGCTTACGTCACATTTCCATAGCACCGGAATTCTATGGTCTAAAAAAACCAAAATGGCGTCTCTAGCTTGACACGTCGTTGACCTCGAGCACTTCAAGAGCTACAATAGCGCATTTTATCCTCCAATAACAGAAATAAGATAAAGTGAGTCAAGATAGCCTTTGGCCTTACTATTGAAGAGTATAATAAGCGGACAAAAGCACCTGGTGAGCAATAACTTGAGTCAAAACGCCACGGAGACGAGGTTTTGCGATGGGCTAGTGTTTTCATCCAGATTGCAATCCCACATCTGAAAGCCACTGCTGCCGATTCTTTTCGTTTCCAGACCAAAAAAAGCATAAAACACTCTATGATAAGTGGATATCATTTGTAAGGTGAGTATTTTTCGAAAAATATACATTTCGATGCTGCACCAGCGATTAGAAATAGCTGGTTTTTTATCTCAAACTGATTCACGATTAGCTATTTTTGTTTCTTGTCTTATTTGTTTTCTCGCGGCTTTCCTTTCCTTGTCTTTAGTCTTGATCTAAGATTATTTAGTCACTAAAAAACCATATGATAAATGTGAGTATCAAAGCTTTTACACTAAGTAATATTAAGTAACAAGCTCAGAGAAATACTCGCCTCGCATTCACGTCTCAGACTACAAGGTTAAGTATGTGACCAACTAAACTTTGGGTTTTTTAAGCGCAAGTACAGTAACTGCTTCTGTCTTTTTCTGTTATGGGAGAGGAGACAGAAAGCCCAGCAAACATTCGCGACTTTGCAGTTGTCACTTTAAAGATGGGCGAAAAGAAAATATGCCAACCATCAGCGACAGAAACAGGCACAAGCTGTTTGATAGTTTAGACTTGCTGCCCAGGTACAGGACCAACACCTCCCTGTACACCTATCCCCAAGAAAAAACGGAAAGTGTCTGCCGAGCCCACAAAATTACCAACCGTAGCATCTGTGCTCGAGGAGATCAAAGAGAACTCTGAACCATGTTCCACTGAATGCTCAGAACAGGAAAAGACAGGTTCTAAAGAAGCTCTGCTGTCAATAGAGCTTGACATGACTTCAACAGAACTCTCTAAACACAAGGAAATGTCAAGTTACTATAGTGCACACTACTCTGCTAAGAACTTGAGCCCTGAGGTGATACGTATGGAGACAGGTCTACCCACAAAGGATGTTATTGATATTGTTGGGAGATATGTTTCAAGATTCAAGGGTGAAATAAACTATTATGCTGGATGGAAGGTTCAGGCGATCACACTCGAGGACCAGATATTTATCACTGATGAAACTGAAACAAAATTATACCAATCTACATTTAGCTAAGTTGTTTTCATGCAGTGCTGCAACTATAGCTAACACAGTACTAACTTTTGTCCATGTTCTGCATTCTCTCCTGTTCAAAGACATCATGACAACTGTGCCATCTAGAGAAAAGAACAAGCTGTGTTTGCCATCCTCTTTTGCTGAGTACAGCAGTTGCCAGATTGTGATTGACTGTACAGACATTGAAATTGCTGCACCTAAGCTCATGTCCCAGCAGAATGCTACATGTTCCACCTACAGGGGAATGAACTCTTTCAAAGTCATTACAGGGGTTGCCCCAAATGAAGTTATAACTTATGTTACTGATCTTTTTCCTGGCTCAGTCAGTGTCAATGTCATGGTTAAAGAGTCTGGATTTCGTAAACATTTGAGTGCTGGTGATCTTGTTCTGACAGACAAAGGTTTTATCATCAGTGATGTAGTTCCAAGAGGTGTTTCAGTGAACATACCACCATTTCTCAACAATGGAAAGTTTACAGAGAGTGAGGCAAGGGCGACAAAATCAATAGCTCGATGTCGCATCCACGTAGAGTGTGCAAATGCAAGACTTAACAGTTTTCGCATTTTTGAGGTGCCATGCTGACAAGCTATGCCAACTGTGCTCAGCTCTTGTCAATTTGCAGTACCCATTGATCAAGGATGGCTGCAAAGACTTTGAATTTGACTGAATAGAACTTTTCTTGTAATATTATATTTGTATTGACTAGAAGCCCTACAGTAACAGATCAAGTGGTATTGACATAGCTTTGGTCAAAAATATGATGTGATCAGTTTTACATTTTTCTGATATTATTCATCTCCTTTATCTTCATTAATACAAACCACTATGTGTTCTGTGAAAATAGATTATAATGAAATCCAATGACATTGTTAAATTGTCCTTTCAACTAGATCCAGGTCAGGGGCATGTGACCCGTATGGAATTCTTTCATCCAGTAGTTTGAGTGTGAAAGTCATGCTGGCTTAAAGGTTTTACTTTTGTGCATGTGAGGCTGGGAGCCCGAGTCCAGGTATATAAAACAAAAGCCACACTTAAGAGGTACTTAGAAAAAAACCTGTGTCTGCATGGATTTTGTTTTGGCTCCCTCCCCATCCCTTTGCATTTGCTGTGCAAGCTTACTTAAGTGTGGAATAAGTTTTATGCACCTGAGCCCTGTTGAGTAACCAGGATAAGTGTTACCAGCTACCAGTAGCCATTGGTTGCAAAAAAAATTGTTAAAGCTTGTTTTCAGGAAGAATGTAATTCATTATTTAGTTACAATGCTAAATGGAAAAATGTTGATTTTTTATCCTGTGTCCACAGTGTAGAATTATATTAGATGTAATGTTATATTAAGAAATTAATGTATGAAATTTCAAAAAATGCCTTTTTACATTAGCTATTGCCTATTTACATTAGCTCCCGCTCCCCTCCCCTTTACTCTGATTATGTCCAGCATCTGTGCACCACTTTTCAAAGTTCTCCCTCAGTAATCTTTGGGAATAGTTGACGAAAATAAAAATCACTCAAGATAGCAATATTGTGCTCCCAAGATTCATCTCGTTCAATCTTGATAACTACACTGTCCTTTGTGGTCCACAAAACAAAGTAGCAGAATTTGCGCTTGGTCAGGAACATCTGGCCTTGACACTGATGCCAGTAAACATGTGTGGTAGACAGGGTATAACTCCCTTCCTTCTCCTCCAAGTAAAAGTCTTTGTGCCCACAAGCTTCCTTGATTGTCACATTTCGATGTGTGTATGGGCACTTACACTCAATCACCGAGTTGTCTCCCACAAGTCCATCAGGGGAAGCACCCAGAACTCCAGACTCTTGTAGCCAAAGGCCAGTCTGTACAGGTGTAAGATTTGTGATGTTGGTGAAGGCTTTCAGGGCCTCAGTCTCATTGTCCTGTCCTCATGCAATTGCTTTAACTCCGCTCAAGTTGTAGTCCCCAAGTAGTCGCTTGATAAGAGATGGAGTAACTCTCTTTGCCTGGAGGACAGAGCCAAAATTACTAGCAGTCAGGCGGCCTCTAAGAGCTTGGTGCCATGCAGGGCTGTTTCTCTGGCCAGCTTTGAGGGTGCTCACAACATTTATAGTTCTCTCCTAAACTCTGGCATTCTCAATCAAGTACTCTAATTGTTTTTCCTTCATAGATTCCGTAAGGAAACCTTCAGAGTAAATGATATCCTCAATTGTCTTGATCGAGAGAGGGGTAGCAGGTTGTCGTTCGGGACTCAAGATCCAGCAGGTCCCTGTTAATTTACCATAGCGCTTTAGTTCGCTGTACAGCCACATCCGATCTTCTCGGCTAAGATCGTACACCAAGGGGCTGTAATCCTTCTTCTTCGGTGGCGCTGGAAACATCTGGCTTGCGGACTGTACGCTTTCTGCCTTTCGCTTTCCTTTCCATTGGCATTCCACGTCCGTCCTGCTAAGGTTATGGATGCCACAAATAAACATGGCTGCCGCGTGAATGCACTTGAACTCGCCACGAGGACACTCGCATTCTGTGTTTTTTATTTCAAGGTTTTCATCCAGATAAATCTGATAAGAAGATAATTCGAAACAGACACATAAGTTGCGATATATATTCCGCAACACAAACATTAAATTGGAGGTGAAATCGGGGTTGGGAGTTCTTCAAATTGAACACACGTGTTGTGATCCCAAATCGGCGACTTACTGTGACTTTGTCGTCCTTATTTTTCATGCTTGCTTGGACATCATCTTTGATGACTCCCCTGGAATAAATAAAGCTATGGACATGGTTGGATTTGAAGTGGTTTTCCGCTCTCGAGAAAAGAAAGAAACGAGTGAGCATATCGATAAAGATGCCATGTTTGAAGTGTGTTTGGTTTGTTTAGACCAGAAAAAAATGCTGTCATGGCAACGTGACGTCACACTTTGGGACTCTATAAGTGTCTTTATGTGATAAGGTGTTTGCGCAGAGGGATATCAACAACCAGATGTAGATTACGTTTTTAGATCAATTGTTTTACCTCAACTAACATATGGTCTACCTATATATGCCTCCTCAATACCTGAATTAACAACGGTCCAGAATTTTCTACAGCACTGCTTTAAACGCAAATATATTTCGTACCAAATTGACATATATAGTGTATTGGAAGAGGTTGATCGCCCACTATTCAAGAAGATGTCCAGTATGCCCGCTCACCCTGTACCGTTCTTTCCCTAAAACGAAAGAAAGCTCAGCGCGCCTCCAAGTTCCTAGTAGCCGCCAACTCCTTAGGGTTAATACCAAGCATTTTAAAAATAGTTTTTTTAATAGGCTCTATTTCAAATATAGAGTAGCTATCTAATGTAACGTCTTATGTTATGTAATGTTGATAGCCTTGTAATTATTTTTATGCAAATTTTCTTGTTTTAGCATGTACTTTTGCTTTAAAACAATAGACCCATTATTATTATTATTATAAAAAGAAAATAATTCAAATACTGGAAAATTATAGATGAACGATCGACGTTTCAGTCATATCCCGCGGCCTTTATCAGGAAACTTCTAAGTCAACCTAGGTCTTGCAAGTGTCACGTCATAGTTGACTCAGCACGTCCCGTAACGCACGGTCCCACGTATGCGATAGTACAAACCGCAACCCTCCTTTCTTATTAAGAGAAGGGTCCTCTGTCATGTCAAACCTTTCCTGATTTTCCTTTTTTCAATGAATCAAATCTAGAAAAACGGGGTAACCTCTGAGAATTCATGCTACCAGCAGATAATACCCGTAGCTCTCTTATGCCATCTTTACTCTGACTTTGGAATTATTTTCAAGGAACTATGGAAAAATGGGGTAAATTCTACTAACACATATTCTATTGACTTGCCACATCTAATCTACTTTTCCCTGATTTTCCATTTTTTTTCACTGAGTAGAAAAACAGGGCACATTCTGAAAATTCATCGTCCAAGTGGAATTTATCCCACTGACTTGCCATATCCAATCTTTATCCGATTTTCCATTTTTTTCAATTGTGATGAAATTTTGTGGGCCGAGGCCAGGAACGTGTTCGATAATTGAGTCAGTTTGCTAGACATAACGTCTCGTAGTCACGTGACTACGAGACGTTATGTCTAGCAAACTGACTCAACATTTTTTTCAATAAATTATAGAAAAATGAAGTAAATTCTGAGGATTCACGCTTTAAGTGGCAAAGACCCTAAGTTCCCATATGCCATCTTTACCCCGATTTTCCATCTCTTTTTTTCGGCTGTGAATTCTATGATTAGTGCCAATCGTTAGCCCTCCATAATAAAGCATTATGCAATAACTTTATTGTAGTTAGGAGTTTTTTATAGCGCTGGCCCGCTTTCAGGTATTATTAATTAACTTCCATAGAAATTCAAAACTTAGACACAACAACGTGCTATAAAATGTACTGTTCCTCTTTAATTGTAATCATTCTCTAAAGAAGTCTCAATTGGAGACTTCGATGTTGATTTGATGTTGACAGTCTATTCACCAATATTCCGTTAAATGAAACTATCGATATTGCCGTTAATCTTATTTTCAAGCATGACCCTAAATTTTCTATTAAAAAATCCGACTTGAAGAAATTGTTTTCATTCGCTACAGCTGAGACTCATTTTCTTTTCAATGGCAAATTTTATGATCAAGTTGATGGGGTAGCGATGGGTTCTCCGTTAGCACCCATCCTAGCCAATCTTTCTCTTGGTTTCCACAAGGAAACGTGGCTAAATAATTTTAACTATTCGATTCACCTTCTACTTTATAGGCGTTATGTTGATGACACATTTTGTGTCTTTCACAATGAAAAGGATGCTATGTCATTTTTCGATTACATTAATTTGCGACACCCTAACATAAAATTCACTTTTGAGAAAGAGAATGATGGTAAACTCTCATTTCTTGATATATTTATTGACAACTCTTCAAGTGATTGTATATTTTCAGGTTTTCTTAAAAAAAACTTACACTGGTCTCCTGACAAATTTCTTTAGTTTTATTCCATCATGCTATACAATTGGCCTTATCTGAACTCTTACTGACCGAATCTACGAAATCAACAACACCTCTTCTGGCCTTCAAAATGATCTTAATAAACTTTCCAACAATTTAAAACGCAATTATTTTCCTTCACATATTACTGACAGAATTTTCAAGTGGTATCTTGACCGGTCTTCCTCTCAAAAAAGCCGGAACATTAAGAAAAAAATTATAATCACCTGACTAAGGTATTTGACACCCTCAGGAGACAGCTATGACGAGTCTCGACTTAAACCTATGGTCAGGATTGGGGTTGCAGAAACCACTTCAGTTCCATTGACCTTTTTGCAGTATTTTGATGTTAGAATTACAGGTTAGGGTTAGGATTGCAGTTGGCTTAGGGTTAGGCATAGCACAAGTCAACTGAGAAGCATTCTCATTGCCCTCCAGCACCCTTGGGCAAGTGGCCAGATGGCACTGGTCCTGCTGAGCCCAAAATATCTTTCATTAACCTGACAATTTAATAACTGTTACCTGCACTTTGTGTTTTAATCCTAAACTCAGTCCTGCAAGGCTTTTAACAACTACCCTCCCCTTCTAAATCCCTATTCTTTTCTAAGATTCACATAAAACTTTCTAGTTTTACTAATACCATAACAAGTTAACAGCTTGCATAGTTAGAGACATGAAATAGCACTATAATGAGAAAAGGAAGATTTTTTT